GGGGGGGGGGGGGGGGTGATTTCGCGATTAGAATAGGAATATACCTAATAGTCTTGCTTAGTTGAATGTCGTATTTTCTTCGTTCATGATCGATTCAATACCACTGGAATATAGGGTTGATATATTGTGGATAGACGGATAGTAATGTGAACATGCTATTTATACCACTACCAGAAATTTGGTCTATTGCAATGCCAACAAAACCGCTGCAATAGATAAGACAACCGTGCAATATCCTTATTGTAATGGCTCAGGGTCCGTCCCACCAGCTCGCGTGCCAGTAGGTCTGTTGTAACGGTTTTGTGCAACGGTTAGACAACTCTTGCCATAGGTTGTGTATTGCAACAATTTCAAACCGTCCCCATATGTTAACGATATATGATATAACAAATATCAGAAACTGGAATAAAAGGTTTATTATATTGTAACTGTTATATTTACGAGAGCCAAACCACTCTATCGCCTTTTTTTATGGCCATAGAACCACTATACTCAGAGAAGCTCAAGTACTATCAGTTAATTAAGTTTATTATTGTTACTATCAATTAACTAATTTTTTTGTTGTTATTATCAGTTAACTATTAAGGAGCTCATCAATCAAAGTCTTCAGAATAGTTCTCAAAATGGCCTCAATCTCCAACTTAAGAAATAACTGAAGTACCAAGTTTACTAGTATATAAAAAGGGCATTACACCAGAAAGACTGCCCAACTATGAAGCATAAAAAATAATAGATCAAAAGAGCTTAACATTTTTGGTGATAAAGGTAGGTGATAATGGATAAAAGTTTTGGCACGGTGTACATAAAGCTCACTAGGTTTTATCACATGATGAATTCTACAAATTACAGATAGGGAAAAACTGATTCTTGGCTTTGAACTCACTTGTTTAACTATCATTTTTAATTTAAAGACTTTAAGGTATTTATTTACCCGTAAAACGGTACAGTTGAATTTATACGTGGTTTCTAGACATGTGAATTAATGTAGTCCTGAAATAATAGATGAATTATATAAATTTACAGTACTTAGACTTGACATGGAGATGAAATAGCAGAAATAATAGTTCCGGGAGCAAGGTTTCCAGGCACAATAACAATAGAATCAAAAAGTAAGAAGAGAAGATTATATTAAGCTTTGAATAGAGTGTAGCATATGTTTGCCAGAAAATTTGTGTCCTTTACAATGATGATAAAACTCACTATTTATAGCTACACCTAGGGAACAAGGTCCTAGGATTAAGCCCCTCTTTAATGTCAATTATGAGGGGCATTGAAGAATGTGTAACGGCGGGCAGTGAATACAATATTTCTTGTAACGGGCAGTATATTTAATACAGTAGAATATTCTTCATTAAATGTTACGGGTGAAAGGCATTTATTCATCTTTATGAGTATCATTCTCTCAAGTAACAGACGAGATCGTTGCCATCGGCTTTGACTATATTCTGTCCTCGGCTCCACGTGTCACTTTCTCGTGCGATCATTTAATATAACATATTTTACCCTATACAAATAGTCTCTCTGCTTTCCAGTGGCATACCTTTATGTCACCGGAATGTTGGTAGAAACAATCTTCTTTTGGCGGAAAATTTACTGATCTCTCTAAAAAGTTTATGACGGTTGATTAGATGCACATCTCTTCGCATTTAATGCTCCGTACATGCGTCATTCCACGATTTATCATAACTTCCGCCAGCTATCGAGGTAATTATGGCCACGAGCTTAGGAGCCTAAACCTTTACTTATATGCATCAACCTCCTTCATTCTCACTTCATAATACTCTGAATTTTCTGAGACCTTCTTTACTCAACTCATTCTTCTACCTTAACCTTTCTTTAGCTTCCTTCTTTGAGAGAAAACCCCTCCCTTTGACAAAATATGGCCTCTTATTCAAGAAAATCTAGTTCTTCAACGAGCAAAGGCAAAGCTGATGATGTCGCTCCCCCTACGGTGAGTACCATCGTCCCAAAGAACCTGATTACCATCAAAGATTTTGAAGAGAAGTACCCTGCTGCTCACCCTCATACGTGGGTTGTTAGCGTATACCCTTTTTCTATCCGTCCTTCCAGTACTCCTGCTGTGAAGGAAAACTTTCATTGCCAAGATTTGGATATTATCGCTCTCGACCTGGCGGAGCGAATAACGTTACCCAAGA